CAGCCCCCTTCCCTGAGTCCCCAAAGCTGGGGGCTGTGGGCAGCCTCTGCACTAGGCATGACCACCCTGGCTTGTCTATTCAAGACTCCTTTGCTGCTGTGGGGTGTCAGCACCAAGCACTCCACCAAGTCCCTGAACACCTCCGAAAAATTCCCCTGCCGTGGTCCTAGCAGTGAGGGGAGGTGTGAGCCGGCGGGGCTGGGAACGGTCCCCAGCAGCAGCTCCGCTGGGACGCAGGGACAGGAAGCGACAGCTGGGGTTGCTGCCCTTCGGCTCTGCCGCCGGGGCAGGGTGTCCCCAGGGGCCTGGGAGTGGGGGGAGCCCGCGGGGGGGACAGGGAGCGACTGTGCTGCAAAGGGCTGCAGTAGCTTTTGCAAAGCAGCGAGCTGAAAGCACTCTGGCTTTGAGCTGCGGAGGGGACAGGAAGCCAAGGGCCACCCCTGTCCTGCCTGGAGGGGCTGGGGGGGCTGAGCTGGTTTCTCTCGGCAGGCAGGGGACGGCCCCGGGCTGGTGGGCAGCGTGGCTCACAACCTGCAAACCGCCTGCGCCTCCGGCATCTCCAGCGTGAAGAAGGTTCCGGCCGTGGCCTGGGACGCGGCGGAGGGGTTGATCCTCTTCACCCCCCGCAGGCTGTCCAAGGCCATGGAGACGGTGGATGCTCTTGGGGGGACCCTCGTCAGTGCCCCCAAGCATCTGCTGGGCACCCTGTACAGCTACGTGCCGGTGAGTTTGTCCCCAGCCAGGTCCTGTCCATCTCCAGCAAACCCCATTTTGCCCAACCTCCTCCCATGAGCACCCCATAGTGCCAGGCAGTGCCAGGAGGTACCAGAGCAGGGAGACGGGGTGCTGTTGGGACACCTCAGTCCCACCCTCCTCCTGAGCATCCCCCAAGATGTGACAGCGAGTCCTCGCCATAAAGCTGGCAAGTCATCCAGTGCTGGCACCTTCACATAGTTCATGGTCAAGCCAGGGTGTGACCACAAGTTCCTGGGAAGGTGAAAGCTCGGGCTGAGACCATGTTCCCTCTCCTTCCCCCCATCCCGCTGCTCCCCTGGGACCATTTCTCCACTGCAGCTGCTTGGGGGCTGCAGCCACACACTCCCCTCCACTGGGGACCCCTCTGGGGGCAAACTGGCCTGTCCTGAGGATCCCCCTGGTTTTGGGGGGGGCTGTGTAGCAGAGGGAGAGGGGAGCTGACAGGCGGGTGCAGCCCAGCTGGGCGCTCACCCCATCTCTCAGCTTCGCAGGCAGTCAGTGAAGGAAGAGGAGGCAGCCGGGGGCAGCAAGCCCAGCCCGGAGACAGAGCAGAAGGAGGAGGACGC